TACCTCTACCAGGGCACTCTACTTGAGGGGAATAAAATGCCCATTCCTGCATGACTAAAGGTGGGTTAAAGTTTAATTTTGGACGGCATGTATGAAAAGAGCCAAAAAAAAACGTCTTCCACTTAAGTTCCAACTTCTGGATCTTTGCTCAAGGCTTTAAAATGTTTTGTACAATCACCATTAAGCACTGTTTATCCGACACGAAACCTCCTCAAGAATCTCTTAACAGTGCTCCTCTACTCCATGCCAGTGTGAAGGGGATCCGTGGAGCAGTGTAACATGCAAAAAAAACACTGTACGAATCTTTCCCCGGGTAAAACGTCACCGCTTTTCAAAGTAAAGGTGCCCTTTTTGTGACATTCTACGTCACGAAAAATGTGAAACTACCCGAGGCACACGAGACAGAAAAGGTACGAAAATCTTTACAGCCTCATTTCACGCGCACACTTGCAAGCATGATAGATTAGCACGGATCGGGGAGTTCGTGTATCTGACCGAGTGGGCACTTGTGTGAAAAAGGCTGAACACTGACCAGACTTCAAGTTGCTTTGAACAATGGTTGCCTGTAAAAACACTTGCTCGTGTCACGTGATGCCTCCGGTGAACAAGCTCTACATTGCTGGCATATGCCTGTTCGCCGTCAGGCATTCAGACAGCCAACGTTGACAGCCTGGTGAATGAGTAAGCCGGTCAGCTGTTTTCATCAGGTACAACAAAGCAATGCTCGTAATGGATGGAGGTAAGCCATAAGCAAGGTGCGAAAGGTAAAGGTGCAGCCCTGCAATTGCTTGCTCACGTCACTGCTGCCAGAAAGGCCTCTATGAGAGGAAGCTACAGAGAGAGGCCCCCTCCAGAGGGTATTTTGACCTCCTTGTCCACGCTGGCCAGACAATTCAGGAAGGAGGTGAGAGTACCCACACTTTACCCCACCACACATATGACCTGCCGATCGACTGCGATGTCCCCAATTACACCACTGCTTTGGCAGCAATCGTAAATAGGTATAACCTTTTAGCTGTATTTTTAAAAATGTATATAAAATCTACAATAGCTTTTTCCACTTAATAAAGATAACTCTCATACTCATAAGTCCAAGGTATCCATATATATATACCATATGTAATGCACTACGTGATAAAAACAAACAATATCATGTACAGCACAAAAAAACAAGCTTCCTTCATTTCCTTGACAAAATGAAGACACGCGGTATAGGCGAAGGAAAGGAGGTATAAACACAGAGGCTACCAAAAGGTGTGCAGGAATCGACAAGGTACAGACCATTCCTTACAACAAACAGTACACACCTGTGGTTCTGTGTAGGGGTTTTTAAGTGAACGCCGAGTCAGTAAACTGTTACCACAGGCGCCGTTGGGGTCTGCGCTCCCTTCGTCCCGGTGTGCCGTCTTTGCGTCGACTTTCTTCTTCACGGGAGGGTAGTGGTTTAGAGTGGGCCACACCATTGCGGTGGCGGAGCTCTGATAATTCTGATAACCCGACATTCCCCCACCCAAACCGATGTAGCACGACACGAGAAATGAATCCTCAACTGCACGGCTCCGTGGCTCTCCAACGGGTATTAGCATAAGCATGCCCTCATTTTAAATAATCCTGGCTGTCACAGTCCTGTAGAGGAAAAAAACTGAAAGGGGAAAAAAAAACTTTGTTTTCAGTTATAAAAGCAAAAGAATACATTCTGCGAAAAGAAAACTCGCACCCGGCGCTCTTTGTAATGTTCCTGCCGACAGCCATCGGTGTTCACGCAAAAATGGTTTTAATGCTGAGGTGTGAACGCTACGAGCAGGGCTTAAAGACTGACACGGCGAAACAATTTCTAGAGCCGCCTGCCAAAAGTATGGATGACGTCGTCGAAGATTAGATCACAGCAGCTCGGTTGCAGCCCAACTCTCTGCAGTTGTCCGACTTCCCCAAAGCGCGAGTCCGAAGATCAGCGGGACAACCCACGGCTTCCGAATTAGGTTGCACTGATGTCATTTTCATAATCTTGCCGACAAGAAGAGGTTCACTGGTCACAGGACAAACACAGGGATTTGCCAAAGCAGGAAGCTGCCGATCTCTAATCAACTGAACAGTAAAGTCTAGCTCCTACAACACAACGAACTGCCCCTAATAATGGGCCTGTGTAAACACCACCCGGGAGCATTTTTGTTCTTCACCAGTGAGAGTCTATTTTGTGTTTTACGGCCGACCCTACGGATTGCTTCGACAAGCTACACTGCTTGAACAAAACAGCCACTCTCGTAAACATGAGACTCGCGGCACTTTTTGCAATGGCTAGGCAGTGATCGGACGACCAGTGTTCACAGCTCATGCATCACGAAATGTCTAATAATAAAACTGGGTGTGAAGTAAAAACGTATCTAGTGTTAACAGTCAAACTAAAACTGCTCTTACGTGACATTGTTATGCTCAGCCCTATTGTTCACCTTTGAGACATTCATATTGTTTAAATGCCATATTTCTGCAATATGCTCACAAAGTTCCAGTGTTATTGCAATGACACCTCGATACAAACAACCAATAAAAAACACATCACAAAATTTGGCACGCCAATGTGATGATTTGATATTTACACACAAAGCCTGACATGAGCATAACATCTATTGAAATAAAGAAACAATAATTCAGATATGCTCGGCAAATTTATCTAGTTTTATTTATTGAGGAACTATGGAAATCAAAAAGAATAATTAATGGCGACAACCCCGGGCTTGACTTTAAAACACCTGTTACTAACACGATGATTACAAGGTGGGCCAACGTTAACAAAATTGCCTTTGTAGAATTTTTGGCTGTATTTCAATGTAATTGTATCATATTAAGTTTAACCACCTGCGATTAGCATGATTTAGCACACGAGTAATGAACATTTACATTTCAAACAATGTTCAAATGATTTTTTTTTACTCACAACTATGGTAACTTTTTGGGTGCTACAACCACGCTCATTGTTAGCCGGAGGTGATGTACTGTCTGACCTTTCGTGGGACCCATAAAGAAGGATCAAAGGTTTTCCCCGTGAAGGATTAAGGGTTATAACCATGGGCAGGGCAATTCCAGTGGTAGATTAACCAGAAAAGTACCGGTACATGTAAAAACATATAAAATGGCCCAAGCTGCTACCTTTAAAATAAATATACTAACAACAGCTCCGCTGTTCATCAGTATGAACCAATAAGATGACAATGAAAGCAGCTCAAGTGCCAAGGAAATCATTCCAATCCTTGCAACGTTAGAAAAGGAGAATTCTCAGATCAACTTATATCAACACACAGTAGACATGCCCACACGTGTCAATTGAAAAAAAATGTTCACTGCAAAGAATTCCATTGCATATACTGTGGCTAAAAACAGGCTTACAAAAAAATATACTTGCAGTTACAAATATGGAACTAAATCAATGTTCACCACCTATAGTTTTTACTCAGATAGCCACAAAATATTTTGTTTCACGATGCAATACGATACAATGTAACATTCCACAATATAACTTTGTGATTGTATGACAAGTTTTATTGTCTTGTGTCTGCACTGTCATGTACTTCAAGTCTGAATAAAGATTACTTAAAAGTTATTGAACTGAAGTTCACTCACAGCATAAGCATGCCTTAAAAAGGTCTTCTAATCATTGCATGTTTTTAATCGATAAGAACACATAACTTGCATGTTGTCAGAAAATGATGACATCCTATGATAACCATGCTATGGATTTATCCGAAAAATATTTTTTACAAAGTACCAAATTAAAGATAACAGCTTTATTTTACATGTTTCTTTATTGTTATGAACATTAATTATTATTTTAGTAATTTTTTGTTACAAATTTACATTAAAATGAGCAACGGTAATACGATAGAACAATATTTTGCTCAACGATGATACTTCCGATATGTCGAAGTATCGCCCCGTATCATGGCAACGCTAAAATTTGAACACGGACAAGTTGGACAGTCTCGTGCGTAAGCATGGTCATTACAAAATCATATTTCATTCAGGTCCAAAAACTGTATTCCTGCAACCGCTTGGTAAAAAAAGACTCTAGGAGAAAAGCCCACGCCTGCCATCTACTGCGAAGTGGACAATACAACCCAGTGACCTTGTTCACATACGTGAAATCGTGAGCGCTTGTCAAGTTAATAGAAAGCGTCAAAATTGTAATCAAACTTGAAATTAAATTATTCAACAATAATGCCTGCACCTTTCTTGTATAGTTACTCAAATCTCTCTGGCTTGGTGGAACGTGCTCCAGAATAGGCTGTTATTACTTGTTTTAAGTAGAATAAATAGAGTGTGATTGAACTATAAGGATCTAAGAATAACTTGACTTTGACCCCTCTGTAGGCTGTTTTTAGTTTGCAATAGCACAAATAGGCTGTAAGACATATGAAAAGACCTGAATACAGTACTTAAATTAGTTTGCCACTTAGTTTAAACACAAATAATTACTTGTGAAAATAAAGGCAGTATCTTAAGCCTTTTTTTTTGATAACCAGGCCTTAATTAAAAGTATTGGCAGTCATCCAACCTTTTAAAATGTCGGTTTGCAAATTAAACGATCCACATACTATGAATTTCCTGACTTAAGGAAACTCATCCCACACACTGGATTCTTTTTAATACGGACTATTACGCATTACTGCTTCCCAATGAGATTGACTTTCATTGTTTGGATTACGGATTCAAAGGAAGATGAGCAAACATGTTTTAAAAATGTGCTTTTCATTCCTACAGGAAGTTAAGTCAATTCTGTTTGGAGTAAAGATCAACACATTTCCACCTGTTCAAACAGTTGTGGTCTTCAACACCGGAGCTCCCTACATTCAGAAGCCCAGGCGTCTTGTGCCAGCACTCCAAAGTCAAGGGGATTTCACAGAGACTCATTTTACATTCTGGGGGCTTTACTCCCTGCCGGCAGAACTTGGGGATGACGGGATGGGGGGGATGGGGGGGACGGTGGGCAGGGGTGGGAGGGCACTTACGTTGGTTGTGAGCTGAGCGGTGAGCGTCGCCACTTTATCCTGAGACTGGTCCAGCTCCCGGCGCAGCTTCCTCATCTGTGTCGCGCAAGAAAGGTTACGCTCGACGTGTGATTCTCACAAATGCACGTGGCACCTGTGGCAAGGAACGAATAAAATAAGGGTACAAATTTTAATTGTCGTTGTCCCTCACCCCCCCACTCTTAAAGGTTGGAATAATACTACTTGGACAGGGTGATAATGAATTCATAGAGGATTTACTTATTTCTATGATGAACAAATATTGTAATAATTGGTTTTTTACCCTTCTATCTGGCAACAAAACTGACACCTTTTTTGTGGTCTATGCAAACATGACAAAAATAAAAAAAAAGGTGTCAGTTTTGTTGCCAGATAGAAGGGTAAAAAACCAATTATCATATTTTTTACTGGCAAATGAGGTTCCAATGGGGAAACAAATATTGGTTATAAGGTGGACAATGTGAAGATACATTGTCAACTACAAACTGGATAACAATGAAACTATCTTTGTATATAAACTACGAGTATCGTCTCAGATCACTGTAAATTAATTGTTTCACTATCTAAACACGTTTTTTTTATATAAATGTGTGTTTAAACTGTTAACAGACACTGTCGAAATCACGTCATTATCCTATAAATAAATAAATATATGATACCCTAAAATTAAAGAGCATATGCTTAGAATCAGCATTACACACACACACCACACAATACACAACAAACATTACACAATCCTGACATATTAGACAACACCCATTACACATACCCCAGGTAAGTACATTAAGCATTTACATCAATAGCTGAGCATTTTGACCCAAAAGCCTTTTCTCAGAAAAAAAAAAATATTCACAAATTTTACGAGTAAATAAACACACCTCAACAAGACGTTAACTCTTTCGGGGTTTGACGTATTACTTTATTTTTATTGTCAACTTAACGAACATATTACATATGATTACAGTGCTCAGAAAATATCTGTAAAGAGCCAGTAACAATAACAATCTCAGGTTTCACGACGAAACCAGGACATTCTGACATATTCTGAAAAGTTGGTGGGGACTGGCAGCTCTGATGAATAAGCCATCAAATGCATTCTGTGAACGGAGCCACGAAATTGCACTTACCTCAGAAACTGCCTTTTCATCAGGCTGTGAGGAGAGAAATAACACGCAAATGAGTTAAACTGCTGCTAGATGAGATGGTACCATCTACACACATCGAAACTTCAGAAATAAATAAAATAAGCACGCACACATACGCGTGTGGGAACGTACGACATGTGTGTTAACGGTGTGTAATAATATTCTTGGATCTTTCGGTAAAGTCACGTAGAATGGAAATAATAAAATAATAAACATAAAAAAAATTCTCACGACGTTTCGGCCACAACGCAAGCAGCCGTCCTATTTAAGCTAGACGCTCCAAGCCTGGGGTGTGTCATTCAGACGCTGTCTTCTCGACAGACCTGTTCTCCACCTGAGGATGGCTGCTTGCTTTGTGGCCGAAACGTCGTGAGAATTATTTTATTATGTTTTATTTTTATTATTTTCATTCTACGTGACTTTACCGAAAGAACCGAGAAGATGAATCCCTTGCAGTCACGAAAGCTTTAAATCGGTGTGTAATAACGGTAAAGGCGCATCCCCAATAAACGTGCAACGTCGGGCCAACGTTGGGCATGTGGTTGGAAGAGTTGGCCCCAACGTTCCCTGGTTACTGGGTCTCTGCAATCACTCGCTCACCCAACAGCTGGCCGAAAGGCTCCCACTAGAGGGAGCTTGAGAGAGCACTTCATGCGGTTTATTTGGGCTCCACTTTAAGGCTGCATAGACGCCTTGGAAGTTGTGGGAGTACACACACTTTATTTCACCACACACGGACCTGTCAATCGACTCACTGTGATGTACAGAATGAGAAGCTTTATTTATCCTGGAGAAATACGATAAGCTATGTAGCTCTTTTTCACAAAATGTGCAGTAAATCACTCAAAATAAATAAATATACTTTTAATAAACTTGTTTTATTTTACCAGGTAAAGTCCCACTGAGCTATTCGATTTTTTTCAGAAGCGACCTGGTCACAAATGATAGCTCGACGAAGAGGCTTATCATGTGCAAATTGATCGCAACCAAATATTCTAAACGCATGCTTCTAAATGTGGAGGGAAAAGCGGAGGACTCGGAGAAGAAAATCCACGCAACCACAGGGAGACAGGCAAACGCCAAATATACAGTCGGCGTCAGAGTTGGAATCTGGGTGGACAGAGGCGAGGGGATTTAAGAAACCTGCTCAGAATAATAAGAATAATCACACATTCTGTTATGAACTTTGTTTAAGCTTATCACATGCAGTATAACGTGGCTGTAAAGCGCCAGGAGATGACAATACATATTGCAATGGGTGCGGTCCACAGATAGATCGAGTCCATTCACTAGACTGAGTCTGCACATGCCAAACACGAATGGTCAATGATTCCATGTCAGGACCCTTGAGTATTATGATTCCAGGAGGCTTTTTCCTGGGTAAATAATTGGCATTATTAATATATGTTAACGTAAATGTGCTTATTCTCATTCATATACAAAATTGGGCTTCAACTAAACTAGAATTCGGATTGTATGCCACTTCACTTATTTATTAAAACTTTGCCATCCATCATACATATATAGAATTTAAATGATATATTGACTTTTTACAAAGAAAACCACTTCAAGAAAATATAAGTTTGATGCCAGGTTAAACATAAATATATAATCTACTCACCAAATACCACAACATACTTTTTTTTTTAACATCTATATAAATACACATGCACATATTTTAGATGCTAATCTTTGCAAATGTTTCTCAGGCTTGTCAAGGGCAATTTCTCTCACTTTAGTCAATTCAACGCGTCTTTTTACAGATGAAAGCGCCCAATCGATTGCAAACATAACGTGTAAACAATTTTGAGCGAATTATAAGCCGAATGTGTAAAACCTTAAGGAAATAAATCACAATAAACAATTTTCAGCCCTGCTGTCAATTCACCGCTGGAAGAAGCCATGTTGGTTGTGGGGGTTGTTTGACCATATTTTTCCTCTCTGGGCAGTGCGGTTTGGTGAAGGGGGCCCAGGTCGCTGGGCTCATGGTACACTACGCCACAGCCCCATCCCGCCCCCCACAAAAGATCGTAACGATTGTACGAAGAGTATTTATGACCCCCACCTACTGGACATCTGTAGCTCACCGGATTTCTCCAGGATAAACAGAGATTCAGAAAATGTATTTGTCGCTCGTTTGTATATCATATTATTGGTAAATCATATTATTTATGAAGACCAAAGCAGGAGGATTTCTCCACAACTCTGGCTGTCCGCCCTGATGATGCTAGTTGTAATTACTGGCGAAACGTCGTACTCGAATTGTAACTTTTGTGGATTTACTCTCCAACACATCGGTGTGCTGTCCTAGTAACAAATTGACATGTTTTTGTTTACGTGACAAACCTTACTAAGTGGCTGTGTCGGGTGGCAGGCAGGTTTTACGACACATTTATATTCACGCGATCTAACCCCAAAACATCTATCATGGATAATGCTGGCCGTGAAAGTCTACGTGTTAAACTCATATTAACCACGCAGGTGATGTCGAGCAACTCTGGCTCGGTTTTGCTGCACATGACAAAACACATTTCTGTGTGAGCGAACAAGCTTTGGGGAACAATTCGATTTGCTACAAGGGTCAGAAGTAATGGGCCAGAACCATCAAACCCCGCAAGCACATGGGATTCCACGATCGCGTCAGTGAAACGAGCTCCAGTCTTTTCACCTTGGGCTGAATTTGAGCGGAGAGTCCCCAGGGCTCCCTAGGCCTTGTATTCTGATATGGGAATTTAAGCCAGTAAAGCCACCCCACGCGCAAAGCAAAGGATGACCTCAGAAAATAACATCCTTTCGTCCACAAAAAGCTATTATTTTCCCCTCGTGTGCAATGAATGTAAATAAATAGCAGGTGCATTATCATAATGCTATGCTGTACAAATGTTTATGACGGTTATGATGCGTTGTTGAAGCACATGTATGACCAATACCGTGCTGGTAAAACCTCAATAATGAAACGGTGGAAAATTGTGTTTAGGACTAACAGCAGCGTATGTACAACAGACGACAAACATTAGGTAATGGTGTTGATATTGCAGCTTTAATTTGTGTGCACATTAAAGTCACTTCATGTGAGCAACAGCTTCTTATAGAGTACAATTATCATACGTGTCGCTTATGCAGCAACACAATTTAAAAAGTGTTATTCTAGATTTTTACCAAGAAAAATTCCCTGAACCATTCCATCCAAAATTTGCTCAAATAATATAAAATGCTTGTATTATCATTGATGAATAGCTGGGCAGACATGCACACAGACGGTTACAAGTAATTGCAGACAGATAGATACTCAAGGCAGATGGCAACTCCTGTGGGGATGCTTTCTGCTGGTTTGCACTCCACAAGAGAAAAAAAAAATACTGTCACACTCAAAGGGACGGCCACCATTTACTACCCTACAGTTGCGCATCCATGCGGAGTGTAGTGGTTGATTACACATAAATAAAGGCTGTGATGCTGTGCCCAGCCACTGTGAACACCAAGGGGCAGCGGGCAGACTGGGAAAATGAATACTTTTAGTTTTGCCGATCAAAACTCAAGGGTCAGTTCATATAGTAGCTCAACCACAAACAGAACACGCTTTCGTTCGCACGTTGGCCCACCTTAGAGGTGGCACGTGAGCAAATGCACGGTGATGGAATGAGCGCACGTGAATGGTATTTCTCAACAAAATTTGCTACGCTCGCCCCATATGGTCAGCTTGTTATAGAACTCTTTACTCCATTGAAGAATAAAGTGGTAACTTTATACTGCATTGCCAGCTACTGGTGCTGCTCTCATTTCCTCTCTTCAATCCTCTCCCTTCCATTACCAGCAACTGCTTTGGACACTCAAGACACAAAACCTAATCCCGGATAATCCCCTGTGGTAGGATATGCATACAACCTATGCAGACTTTCTCTCATTATCTCTTTCACGTACGACATGTGTGTGGTGGAGAATGCAGGCTGCCTGCCCGACCACCCTTCCCCGCTGACAACAGCGACATGCCACTTCTCTCAAGGCACTCTGCGTACTGGGAACACGCAGACCTCCGTCAAGGCAGACATCTGTCCGCGAAGCTTTGTGGATTGTGGATTGCACAAGCATTTTCATTTTAACAATTACAAATAATTAAATTAATATGCCACTACTATGAGCCAGTTGGCTTTTGAATATACATATTAGGAAATTAAGTGCGTGTGTGCAAATTAAAATTAATGTAGATTTGAAGCTTTCGTGACTGCAAGGATTCATACTCTTAGGTTTTTTCGGTAAAGTCACGTAGGTAAAAAAATGTAAATTAATAAAAGTAAAATGAAACAAATTAAAAACGTCGTGAATTTTTTAATTTGTTCTATTTTACTTTTATTAATTAAATTTTTTACCTCCGTGACTTTACCGAAAAAACCTAAGAGTATAAAATTAATGTACCAGCAAAACGATAGCAAACAAAAGTAAAGTAAAACCGAGAGAAAATAAAGCAGCGTAGAGCTCACACAGCAGTGTTTATGAAAATGTGAAACAGTTCGTAATCTTAAACAAATACTAAACTATAAAAAGTAGCACAGCAATAAATATAAGACTTTTTTTGCGTATGCCTGTAATACAGCAGCCATCTGGTGTTCATTGGCTGCTGCTGCTTTTAAAGTGTAAGACCAAGCCAGCCAGATGGATTTTAATCGCACAGTAATGTGATCACGCCCACTTTTACAGCTGCTGACAATTCGCCCAGACACATTTCTCAGTGGCTAAGAGAGCTTGTTTAGGCGAACATTAGACAATGGAAGGATCTTTCACACAGTAAATAGTTTAGCGCATAAGCGCATAATAAACGATAAGTCGTTTATTACGCAAAGGTCCCCTGCTTTTCATCAACATTTTCAAGAGCTGGCAAAAAAAACATGGTAATGTTAGAATATGGTAATGTTTAACAAACGTACGCCTACCTTTATGGAGTATTAACTCGCCCTGCCTTGCAATTGACCGATTCATATCATTTACATACCGAACGTCAAAATGCCTGGAACTGTTTGTAAACAGAGTAGTCACGAACATAGCGTTATTACCAGAGGAGACTGTTTTTTAAAATGCAGCCATTCGATGAACCACAAAACATCCCAGCCTCAAAAAACACATTTTACCTAAATCTATACACATTCATATAAAACTCACATAAACGTACAATAAAACGAACGGCATCGATACTGGAGAAATAATTTAAAGCAAAGCAACACTTTAAATAAAATAATGAAAATAATACATACTGTTGAATCTGGACCATTCTTAATTCCCATGCTGTTGAAAATGTCAGTTGCCATGCTGAACCACAACTCTCAACTAGGCGCTCTTAAAGAACGCTAACTGTTGTTCCAAAGCCATTACATCCTGTGCTAAGATGGTACATGCTCGTGCGCTTCTGTACCATGTACCCCAGTGAGGGGTTCTCATAATCCACTGCATGCATGCTTGCTGTAATATTTCTGTCTGTCAATGAGCCCTGTGGAAATTCGAGGCTACTCCCCATTGGACATTCCCGTCCGCCAATCAGATGCTCGGGGCAAATCTGCTTTCAAGTTGCACCCACATAACAACATGAATTCACTTTCCATAACCTTTATCTCGTGTGACATGCGACTAAAAATGCATAGGGTAAAACTGACGAAGAATTTGGTTTTGATAATAGCATGATAAAAAATATAAAACTATGCTTTGGACAAAAACTAAATGTGCAATCGTACGCATAAATTTATAATAAAGAATTACCCATGTACATGCAGTGCATTCTTAACTGAGTCTGTGCATGTATTATGAACACACAAAACTTGCTTTTTATCGGTATTATGCACACAGTAGCATTACCGTACACTTTATAAAAAAAATAATCCGGCTTTTTATTTTACAATTTTAAATCACAGAAGCTCCAGCAGGTGAACAGACTAAGCCGAATGTCCTCTTGATAACTATATCAACGGCAAATGAATTTGAAGTGGAGCGTTTCCATCCAATCTCAAGTTTCGCTTATTTTCCAACAAATTTAATGGACGGGATGACAGGTACGAGGCAGTCTCTCGCCTCGTCAGCAAGGGACGGGGCACTTGTTTATATGGCAACTTGCCTTGCGAGCATAAAACAAAGCACCATTATTTCTACAGGCTTACAGCGCTCCCACTGTTAATTTTCTCTCCAGCGGTGATTCCCGAGTCAATTAATAGCAAGCGATTTGGGCCCCCTTCCTACCATCTGCTTTGTCTCTGATGAAATGGACTGACAAAGCCGTGGCCCATTTACAACTGCAGAGCGTTGTCATGGTGCGTAATCGGTAGCTGCTTTATGATTTACGCGTTATCACCGTCATCACTCTTCCAATAAGTATACTATGAAAATAAAAATGCAATCTCTTTAACACGCGATTTTCCTAAGCATCACACTGGGTTTCAGCTAAGATTTATAATAATTAATTTGCCTTACATCAATCAGGCGAGAGCACATTGCGACAACAAGTTCCTTTTTCAAGACAGACTTGAGGTTACACTTATTTCCAAGATAAAAAAAGACAATTGCACAATATTAAAAATGTATATTAAAGTGTCATGAACAAAACTTTTTAAGATTCGTGAAATAATTATTTACGTAATGTTTAACAGTAACTATGGAGTTACACTCGAGGCCGACAGAAGAACATGTGGACTGGAGAAAATATATCTATTTCAGATGTCATATTGACCGTTAAGGACATAGAGTTGGCTGGGCAGGACATCGGTTGAAGGGATGATGGCCAATGGACAAGACTGGTGAGTTCTAGATTTGAAAAACCGAAGAGTAAGACTGATGAGGTCAGTTCATTCACAGAAGCGAGATGGTTTGTGGCACTTCAGTCCTGTACTGTGGCATGGCAACGGCATGGGGCCTCGAAATATTCATAGAATTTTTGGCTGCTATAAATTTTCACATAAGGCACTTCGCTGAACTATCATTTGTGGGCAGGTTGCTTGCCTTTCCTATACTTTGCACTCCTATTGTGTTTTTATATTGTTTGTTGTTGTAACGTTCTGACCTGCCCCTACTGGACATCTGTGGAAAAGAGCTTCATAGCTCATCGGATTTCTCCAGAATAAATTCATATTTTGATTTGATCATAAATTATGATTGCAATATTTGCAACATGCAAATATAAAGGAGACAAAGACATCCTTACTTTTGCCAGCAGTCATTTAAAGTTTGTTTGAGAAAAGGTTATGTGTCAAAAGTTTGATTGCATATATTTTGTACCACTGACACACATTGACACTTAGAGGTTCCTGACATGGAACAATGTTTTACGTTCATTTCAATATTGTATATTATTAAGGAGGTTTCTTTACATTTGTGTATGTATGAAAAAAAGGAATCCCATGAGAGCAAAATGTTCAAACAGCAAAAGAAGATCTGCACAATGAAGGCAAACTCACTTGACAAAGTTTGCCAGGACACTAGCTTGGTCTTGAAAACATTCATGGCCATCAATTACTTTCAACAAATTAGACTAGACGGCAGAGTTAATATCTCCTTTGCGAGTGCACATGTTGGTACAACATAACATCTGCGTAATCTCTGGGGCCGAACTGACTGTGAGGCGAGCATATCCCATAAGACCTCCAAAACACGAAGACCACTTCGCGCTCGACCTCGTCGTATGGCAAAACTGTCAAAACAATGCCAAATGCTTGCTGCTAATTCCAGTTTAACTGCTAGTTCCTAGATCACACTGCAAACAAAAACCACGCCTGTCAATACTCGCGCCACACGATAAATATAGCACTCAGCGGGCGAAATGGCTAGCGCAGGGGTCGGCAACCAAAATAACAAGAAGAGCCATTTCTTTCCAATTCGGTACAAAATTCAGTATTTCAAGAGCCGCAATGCATCTGAGTACATACGTACATATCGTCAAGAAGCAGCCCGTAAAGAGCCGCATGCGGCTCCGGAGCCGTAGGTTGCCGACCCCTAGGCTAGCGCATTGCTCTATGAAACTGGCGACCTGAGTTTGATTACCGGCGATGGCTGACATCAGTGGAGAGTGTGATATTTGAACTGATCCCGGTCCCCCGAACTCGCGTGCACCCATCCTCCGCCCCACCACCCCCACACCCCTTCACCAACCTGCACCGACTGATTCGCCGAAGTAACAACCCCCATGCATCGTGATCATGCTTGTATGTATGTACTGTATGTTGAACTTCTTTTGCACCGTACGTAGTCAACTGTGCAAATCGGAGGTGCGTGAGGTTTGCATTGAGATTATGCAAAACACAAAATATTAGAATGTTCACAAGGTATATGCCCCGGCTTGTGTTTGTGTACGGATTTTATATTTAGGGCAGGTGGGTGAACAGACTAAACATATGAGAGAGAATAAATGAGAAACAATGAAAAGGGGACAAACGCATATTCTTGAATCAAATCATGATCCTGAATAATTACAATTCACCACATTTCTGCGGGGTAATTGATCATCACATGGCTACTGCAAGTATTTTTTTTACAAAATAAACTATTTCCGCACCTCCGATGAGCATGGTTGGCTACACAGGGTGCAAAAAAAAGTTCAACATACGTACATTTTTTTACGTATAACACATTATTATTTTTCATGATGCGCGTTGGCAGTGGTGCAACAAGCACAATTAACAAAAAAAGTCAACACATGGCACACAAATAATGTATGTGATTTGAAGAACCATTTCCCCGAAACATCGCCTCTCAGATATATTTATTTTAAGGTTGCATTGCTATTGATGAATGTATTGTTATTTTTTTTTCTATACATTCGGAGTGGAAATGGAGCCCTGACAAAAACGGAGATTATCCGACACAAACGTAGACACGGTGCAGCCAAAGGGTGATGTAATGTGCAAGACACATTTACACAAGCGCGCTCTGCGTGCTAGAATAACATGGCGTTACGTGATACAGTAACCACAAAAACTACCCAACTCTATAGCGGCGACGCACCTAGACGATGAAAAATAGCAGCCAAAGGCAAAATAAAAAAACCACATTCAAAACCCAACGCATTTCATCTTTTTTGTTCGACTGCACACAGATTTGGAACACCTGTCGAGTAGAGCTATCCAGTTACATTGTTAGGAAGCCAAGCGTCCGATTCACGTTTGGACTTGGCTCGCGGTGTGACAGCCCACTCACCGTGGAGTAGATGGAGGACGTGCTGGACACAAGGGAGAGCGAGGATCCGTGAACTGCGGGGGAAAGGCAAAGAGTAAAATAACACAAGTGTGAATGTACTGTTCTCGTGTGGCACATATCTGCCGGTCTACCTGGCTTTTGTTTAGTCTGCCGTTGTCTGTCATCTCCTCGATTTATTTCGCAATCGCTCAATCTTTGTCTTTTTTTCTCGCTCTTAAGACAAGAGCCGCCTACATTCCATAAAGTAACCCATATACAGACAGATGAGCCACATAGATATCTTATAGTGTATATACAAGTGTACATATGTGATATATAACAGTTTGCCAGACACAATTTGAAAGCAGGTAATGACGTTCACGAGATGATTCTTTAAACTTGAATGCGTTCGAAATATCAACACAGTTAAAAATCTAGAAAATAAGGTGATATATTTGAAGGAAATTGAATATAATGTGAATTACAACAGTATGAATATAGAACTGCAAAGCATTATGTTACATACTAATTACTTGATGGCATTCAAAGGAATGCAGCTTTAAATATATCTACCAGCCAAATTAGATTTATTTTGGAAAACAGGTGCATTGTGTAATGATGCAGATTTAACTGCGGATGTACAATTGTGACAACTGTTGGTTGTTTACAATTTTGACATTTTTCATGCCACCTGACACCAGACCCACGGCACTGAAGGAGCTCCCCGTCAATTTGGATGTCAAACACACCGTCAAATACGCCGACCTTGACCAACTTGGGCCAGCCAACGTGAGCCACTGATGCTTCAGGATGTGCAAGCTTTTCTACACTGAGTAGCATGGAAAAACCTTGGACCACACCAAAGCGCGTCTCAGATTTTTTTTTGTAAGCTCAGTGAAATCAGGAATTTTCCATCTGAGAGCAAATTTGGCCTTGAACATACCCAGTGGAGTGGAATGCGCATTGATGGCTGTCTGGGTAACAAAGGATTATGATTTTGACAAGTGTACAGCACGTGTTTCTCAAATAGCTGCACGTCAATGCTGTCCAGTAGAGAACACTTAGAAGTTTTATTTCTCATGGCTATGTATATTTATTGTTTTACACAAAGCTTGCTTGCGAATGACTGACTTTTTATGCTAAATCCAATCTGTTTGCACGTTCAGTGCTCTAATTTATTTCTGCAAACGGTTTCTTTGATCGCACTTTCTTATTTCAGAAATTGTTATAAAGAATAATCAGACAAAAGCACGTGTAATTTTCAAAAGTCCATTATTACAATGGGAAAACAAGTTAATTGTTACAAAACTTTAGATAAATGTAATCAAGAAAAATAACATTTACAGATGTGGATTCATTCATTATTTACTCGCAATGCCCCGTGCATATGAGTCTGCGTTAACTTAATGTGTGTATAATTTAATACATATTAAAAGTGCAAAAGTAGAGTTAGAACAATTAATCAATTAAGTCTATTAATCTTCTAAACATTTGGATTGACAATTTTTTTGTATCCTCTACTACTCAGGCCCATTTCAATACTGCAGCCACCCTCACACCCTGCCTCCTGAATGCCGGAAACCCCGACAAGCCACGCCCAGCACGACGCGACTGATGGATGGGAGGTAATGTGGAAGTCTTGGTGGTATCATCGGCCGGCAGGCCGGCAGGCCGATGATACCACCCAGACTTCCCCATTACCTCCCATCCAGCGGCACATGTGGCAACAGCAACAGGACTTAACTTGACAACTATTTTGGTATTATCTGATAATTTGAGTAATCATACAATAATCGTATGTAAATAATCGGATACGCCAGCTCAATAAAATATAATGAAGCCAAGCCATCTCAAATATATCCTTGCAAAAAAGCACCAAAGCTTTAACTTACTTTGCTTCCTAAATTCTTGCCATCATTGCAGTATAGAAATATATCTTGAAAGTTGATCGATAGCCTCGCGATCTCACTCACACAAAAATGCAAAGGGGATGACCCTGTGAATGGAAATGTATTGTGTGCCTATGACACTTACACATATCTTGCGTACATGCTGTTTGAGAGCCTTTGGAGACCACCATAAAACCTGTCCACTAGCAAGCCTTAAGGGTGTCAACTGATCCTGAAATGCCTTTCGCAGGTGAGACTGAATGAATTCAAAGGAAATGTAAGAGATTCAGGTTTAAACATATATATGTTAGCAATGGTCAGCCTTACTGCAATGTTGTAATTTTAAATGCTTCTACAAATAAGTTATGACAACTCTATTTGCGTAAGAATAATTGTGACTATGCAATATTTAATTAAAATTTGTATTTGTTTAAATAGATGTGTTGATTTGAAATGCATATTATTGCTATGACGAAAACATAAGACTTGAGATCAAGATGTGCGTGAAGAGTTATACGCGCTAGGGGGCAGTGCAGAAAAACCCAGTGTTGTACCGTACTACTACGCTCAGACATCGGTGCTCCCCGACGTCACCAACCCGCACGTAATAGCTGTGGCAATTTGGGCGGGATGGAGAAGGATAAAAAAATTTAACCCGTAAAAACAAAGTGTTTCACTATAAATCCTTTATATGCGTGGCGGCTAGAGTCCTCTCGTCCTCTGGCTTGAGATGGCTGCCACCTATGGGTCAGATGATTGCCTGCCACCATTAAGCAATTGGTAATTAAATAAATAAAAAAATTCCTAAAAAGTGTAAAGTTATGGAAAAATTTTTCACTAAAATGAATTGTCACGCACAACGAGTCTGTGTGCAAAATGTCAGCTCGATTGGATCACGGGAAGTGGGTTAAAAAATGACCGAAAGATTTGCACGGTCGTAAGCGCGCAAGCAAGCAAGCGAACTTAATATAAAGGATTTAACAAACTCTCTGTGCTCGATTCCATCTACGGGGGGGAGGGGGGGGGGACTTGGCAGTGTGGTGGGCTGAAGTGGTGACACTGATTAATATTGCAGGCACGGGATGTTGATTTCACAGTTTTCGTTGTGATTAGCGAAGTGTGGTCAAACAACTCCCACGACCGCATAGTGTCGGGAAGAAGTCCTCACCCACCAATGGGTTGACAAAAGTCTGTACGTGAACACGCCAGTGAATAAAGCATCACGATGCTAAAGGTGTCTCGATCGACACTGTGCGGGAAACAGGAACTGCATTTAACTTTGATGGAGCCGTGTGCCTGGTGGTTGAGGCAGGCGAAACGTTCACCCCGCCCCAACATGGGGACTGGAGAAGAGGCAGAAAAAACATTACCATGCCCCAGGCCGTTAAACTATATTTGCTATAACCTTACCTGCTTTTAAACGAATTATAGTTCTTTTCAAAGTTTACAGACGGTGTGACTTTACGCTTTTTTTCTCTGTCTGTGAAAAGACGGTCGTAAAAGTCGACGTCCGTAAACCACCACCCAAATTGGTGGGCCGTCCCGTGGCAGGGATGAAGGTCTTCATGGGTAAATCGTGGTACAACATCACTTGGCACTTTGCATCCAAATAACGAAATACACTTTAAGCCTAAAATGCAAGACGTATGGCGCAAAACAACCCTTTTGTTTCGGACCCAAGGCAACTGATCTACTAACAAATTGGGTGAAAAAAGCAATCAGGGCAATGTGAATAATTGGGAAAATCGTAATGTGAGTGATGCATGTAATAAACATGAAAACACTGGCATACAAAGCTTGCTCTGTCACTGCCATTCGGAAGAGCGTCAACTATATTTTGGAGACGATAAAGATTTCAACAGAAAAACAACAGTGAAATAATGTTTGTTTTGTGTTATGTGGTGTCCCTGGGGCCATCGAGTGCTGTACATTAACTCTATTATTTAATAAAGAATATAAAACTAGGAAAAATAAACTAATGAGATGAAAGATTTATTTGTGTGTTTAGTTTGTTGTCCTTCCCCCGCACCTCCGATTAGCACGATTGGCTACGTACGGTGTGAAAGAAATTCAACGTACATACATCTACTTTTCTCTGGTATTCACGTGTCATCAACAGAGAAAACAGCAGGTAAAAACTACACACATTTTCATAGGCGGCACTTGGTGAACGCTTGGATGCAACACTTGTGATGTAGCGCTCCACTGCGATGTGCGGGTCGTACCACGTGTTGCTCAGCACGATGTGCAATGGTTCATTCTACATTCTGGGAGCTCCTTCCAAGAATAATTTTCTTCAGGAACTGGACTCAGTTCATAAACTCATCCTTTACTTCATACGGCTGACGCTGATGTAGAGCAACAACTGTGAATGTACGTCACGGTGGTTGAGCCGGATAATTGCCTTCAAGATTCAACAACATCCCTCGCCGTCACTACTACCACCACCGCTTAAAAGCCGCGCGAGTCCTTTCGGACCCGCGCACTTAATCTCCAACAGCTCCGTTTCTAAAGAATCCACCGGGTACACGTGAAGCGAAACTTCGCACCGAACAACGTGCGGCTCGACACGAAAACAAAGGGCCATGCCGGAGGCGCACACGCCCACAAAAAAAAAAAACACCCGACGCGGTCGGTTGAAACTGCGCTCGTGACCGTCCGCTGACCTTCTTCGATGCCGTCACGGAAGGAGCCGGAGCGGCTCATGCCCCGGTGGCGCTCGTCGAGTGAGACGGAGCTGTTGCGGAGGCGCGTGTCGCTGCCGCCGTACATGTCGTAGGCGGGGTCGTGCGCCGACACGCTGTTGGAGCGGAACACGTTGGGGTACGACACGCTGAGCTGGGAGGCCGCGTTCGGGCTCACTGCGTGGTGGGCAACGACGAGAACAACAACAGAACAACAATAACGGAAATTATTGCAAACAAAAAAGTTACTACAATCAGCGTCAGATACATGAGCCTGGCGGATATTCGGGTACGGTTGTTTTTTGCAACTCAACGTTCTGCTACAGGCCTTCGTTCTTGTTTACAGTAAAAATCCAATACAAATATATATTTTAAAAGTGACCACAAGACAACACAAAATGCTCACATATTGAGATTTTCATGCCGATTTAAAATTGTATAGCCATTTATTCGGACTACTCGTACTATTTTGAATGGATTGGGTTTTACTCCAAAGTTGAAATAAACAGCAACAAGCCCCTTCTGGATGCAGGTCCAATGTCACGATGACAGTTAAGATAATTAACAAATGATACACTTTGTTTCCTGCTCCAGTTAATCAACAACAATTAATTTCCAGTCCATTTGTCAGTCGCTTCACATGCTGTGTCCAGATTGGTGAAGTTGGGATGGAATGGTTGGAGGAGGTGTGGGGAAGCTCAGGCATCGCTCGCCACTAACACTGGCGATGGCGAGGAATCAACTTCAGGACACGAGGTTGATAGTTCAATGTGACACCGCTATGCCATCGCTCCATAGCAATTCATAAGAATCCATTTCAATTCATATTTCTACACCCAGTGCTTACCAATCAAATCCCCATTGCTACAACACAAGCACGGTAAAAGCAATGGAATAAACAGAAGATGTAAATATATATAAACTCTGACGTATGCATCAGATTCAGCATCAGAATATTTATCCTGGAAAAATCCGATGAGCTATGAAGCTCTTTTTCAATGATGTTCCAGCAGGGGCAGGGGTCACAATTAAGTCAACCGCACCTCCAATTAGCACGGTTGGCTATGTACGGTGCGAAAAAAGTTCAACATACATAAAATACATTAGATTCAGTTGGCCTCTTTAATAGACGGTGACCTCCTTGCTTGAACTAATATTCAGCTCCGATGCCAGACCAAACCAAACCACACCAGCCAAATGACAAAGTGAAGCAGGGGATTGTCTACCCCGGCAATAACAGGCGACGGTGTAACGGAGCACGATTGTTTTACCGGGTGGTGGGAAGTGGAATCGCGTGCCAGTTGGAGAGGTGATGGCTGTGGCGGAGGTTAGGGGAGAGTGTTCGCCCGTATCTTGCAGTCCGCCGATGGAGTATGAGCGCATCCACTCGTCCTGGCCGCGCTGCTGGGATGGCGTGCACCTGCACACGCACATTGAGACGTGCGAGGGCACGCGCGCATGTAGAGAGCCGTATGCCCACACGCTCACAGCAAGTTGGGGCACGCACAGACACGTGAACGGGCAGGATATTTACACGTGCACACACAAGCTCTTTGAATGGACACACTGACATCCTATAATTCAGATAAAAGCATGAAATAATGGACGAAAAAACACTTAAGTGCTCTTAAAGATATGTCTGGAAATTACGCAAAGATGTGCACGTGAAAAAAGCACGGTAATTTGTTGTGCAATTATATACTTCCTACCATTACGTCTTGTCTCTTACAGGCACTTTTTAAAACTTGGCTTTTAATTTGGTGGCAACATTGAAAGCCCATTCTACTTTGACATAAATTGAGACCGACTTATTAAAGTTCCGGGTAAAAATATCCCTCAAAATGACAGTCTAAACTGTATGATGTCAATAACTGTCCTTTAAGACGAGCAGCTGGACCACCCAAATTAATACCACGCTTGTGCGGAGTAGCACCAACATGTGCGCACGTCAAAATGTTCAATGTCACATGCAGCACGTGACCTGCTGCCACCCAATTCCAGAAAATGTTTGGCATTTCCAATAGGCCGTCATTTTGCTCACGTTGTGTAGACACGATTTTGCTTTCCATCGTGAACATTTGTCGGAAGGCAAAGCCATGCACACGATCTAGCATTGGCCATTTCCATGGAGCATGAACATTGTGTAAGAGGTGAGTTGTTGACAAACCAAAAAAAGAGAAGGCAATTACTCAACCTTGAACAACTGGACAGTGAGAAAACACCACTCTGAGCTGTAAGTAAACAACCGCTCAAGTGACGTCAGGTAGCTTAGCAAACAGCCCTGCAGGTGATAGGTGGGTCTGTCATTGAGAAATGTTTGGTGGTATTTGCCAACCTACACAACAGGCAACCTACACAACAGACTGCTAGGATAATCACCCCATGATGAAAAAGAAGTTCCACGCACTGTTTTAGCACAGAAAATTTGCTCATCAACCAACAACTTCACTTGGATGATAGTAAAAAACTTTATATTAGGGGAGAGGGGAATCTAGCCAGATGGTACCTTGGTAAATACACTTGATGAACAATGATTGATGTGGTAAGTACAATTGAGGAACAATGATTGATGAACAATCATCAAGTGTACTTACTGCCAGGGTCCACGGCAAGCGGCTGATAAAAATTATTATCACTTTGCCTTGTAGACAGGATGGCCAATTTCATTGTAATGTGGAATTTCCACTTCTGGCTCTGGGCGACCAGAGATGAGCACCACCAAAATTGCTCTTTTGAAGCAGGGAGACATTGTGACTTTGATTTGAAACCCGTACAAGTCACCTTCATTACAATTACTCAGTCACCTTACCCTTTACACAGACAAAAAACACACATCCACATGTCCCGTGTATGAAGACCTGAGCCACCATGCAGAAACACAAAATGTCATGCGAAACGAAACAAATGGGACAGCTGGCAGCACCAAAGCAACTTGACGAGGGCCACAATGAACAGCGGTGGGTAGGAATTGCATCAGGATCGTGGAGGGAGAAGTAATTTTAACTTCCCCGCAACAAGCTTCTGTTTAACCAATGCCCCATTGCCCTCTTTAAAACGAGGCAAGCGTTCACGGACGCGGGCTTTACACGCTGGGATGTACAATGGTACAATAGATTCCCCTTGTTTAATCATTGAAAATATATATATATCAATAACCCACAAAAAGGTACACTCCACGGAACAAAGTCACATGTTAGTAGAGCTTTATTTAAATTAATTCATATTAATGTCATCGTATCTATGGGGTATTTCCTTTGTTAAATTTTAATCGCGGATGAAAAATGGATTATAAACCTCTCTCGGTATCATGTCTGCAATCTGTCATGAGAGATATACGTAGAAAATGTAACGTACGCTGTCGCAGCTAGAGAGCATTAATTCAATTTAGCAAAACGAAAGATATCTGCTTTTGCTCACTTAATGGCCGATTCCAGCACAGATATGATACAACGCAACCTGACTCTCAGGTTAAGCAGCCGCATTGGGTGTTCGATCCTGATCCTGACGCCTATATATTTGGAGTTTGCATGATCTCCCCGTGGCCGCGTGGATCATTCTCCTGGTCCTCCGGGTTTTCCCTCCACATTTAGAACCATGCTTTCAGATAATTGCGATGATTTTGCTGCTGCAATAGATGTCCAAATGATAATCCACTTTGAGGAGCTATCATTTGTAGCCAGGTCGCTTCTGAAAAACAAGTTGATACCTCAATGGGCTTCGTCTGGTAGGATGGGGATGGTTTAGTTTTATTTGTACGTGTTTGGGTGATTTGTTTACCTTTCTTGTACTTTGCACTCCTATCGTGTTTTTGCATTGTCTGTTGTTGTAACGATCTTACCCACCCCTACTGGACATCTATGAGAAAAATAGCTTTATAGCTCATCTGATTCCGCCAGTATTAATAAATATTCTGATTCTGGTCCACAGCAGTTCTGGAAAACAGGATGACAGCAAAAACCGGCGGACCAAGAAGCACTGGGAGGCGCATACTGGAAAGAAATAAAGGGAGCGCAAAACAGGAAATGCTCATGAGCAAGTGGGAAGAACACCTCGGAAGGAGATCCACAGCCAGTTTAACATCATAGAGGGGGGGGGGTACCTGAAGCCCTTTTTAGGCAGGGTGTTCCTGTCAAGAAGCAGAAAGCTACGAAGAAGGAAAAGAAGGGAAGAAGAAGCCCAAAGTGAACAACAACCGGGTCGTGTTCTGGGGTGGGGGGGGTGGAGCCCAGAGGCACAAGGATCTAAACGGTGCCTCTGACCTGGCGAGGGTTGGGTTTGGTGCAGCGGAAGAGCAACGTTGGCAACCCATACATTCGTGATGAGCAGTGGCAGTAGGGCTTGAGAATAGAGGCCCATTAGCACACTGATTTGGCAAGTGTGCCAATATGTGCAACAAAATCACCGTTCCTTTGCTTGCATCACAAGTAATATACATGGCAATACAATTACACATGTTACTGGCAAGCGATATGACCAAATGCCAAATTAATGTTCTGCATGACACAGATTCTTATAATCGCAGTGCTTGACTACATTTTTTTGGCAGGGCCAAACACATTTTTGGACAGAGGCCATCATGGAACATAATTTATTAATGTTTGTATGTACCCGTGTAGTAATTATAATTAATATGGTTCTGTTCACTTAGTAGAATATCAATAACTTGTGTAAGAATTTATAAAAGTGCCGATTGTCGTGTCATTTTACAAAATAGTGGTATGTGTGAAAGAATAATGCCACTATTTATAACTACCTGGGATATGTGATTGCATTAAATTATTATGTAGGGCAACTGTGGAGAGCAAACAGTTTATTAAATGTTATAGAGCGAGTTTGAGGACATATGGATGCAGACCACAGTGCCATAATATACACAAAGTATATTGCTGTCATTGACATAATGAATCAATACTGGCTAAGCAATGCATTAAAAATACCTTCATGAAAATTGCTATTTCATAAAAATTGGTTTCAAGCATTAATAATGCAATGGGTCATATAGTCACATCCGAATTATGATTACAGTGCACAGGTAGTGTTAATGATGTGGCCATGGTGATTTTTTTGTGACTTTGATCATATAAAAAAAATAACTTCTAACTACAAACCAACCCCTTGACCACATTTCAGGCCCTCAATCACAAGCCAAAGACAATGTGTCCAGCACTGCCACTGACTGTTGCCGCTTGCTGTGGGGTGAACGCATGCTGCATGCAGATGATTCTACCGACTTCCTTGCTGCACTCTACTCTCAGGCATACGTTTCAAGTGCCCTCCTCGACAATAATAATTATCGGCTTGTACTCCAAACACTCCAGCCAGACAACTTTGAGGAGCATGTCCCAAAGGCTTGGAATATTTTTTTTTAATTCACTCAGATAAACAGTAGGAAAATGGTAGTTTGTTAAGTTTAAGAGCAGGTAATGGGTACATTTAAATAGTTGAATTTATTTCAGTATAGATGGCAATGAAATCAATTATGCTTTGAAATTTATGTAAAAGAGAAATGCAAACTCACTTATCCAAGATGTTCTTATTCTGAAGTTGCCTGAAATACACAATTTAAAACTCATCAATGAAGATTTCGTTTTATGCAATTATTAAATAAATAACGTTTTTCATTCACGATGTGACAACATGCTTATCTTGATGCACAGTTCCAGCTTTGGTATTGCATCCTCTCTGGCTGAGTGAGGAAATCACTGAAAGTGAACGGCAGCTTCGGAAGTTCACTCCGTTGACCGAGGCACTGGCATTTTTAAACAATGACTGCACCAATTAGAGCCAAAACCAGGATAACCCCTACGCTGTTAATATCATTCCAATGTGTTTGACACCGACAGCAAACACAAATAATGACTTGTGAGTGGAAGACAAAAAAAACCCCACAACTCTTGTCATCAAAACACATTTGAGGATGGCGCCACAAAGACAGAACACTGCAAATATTTTGTTAAAAATGTGCATGATTAATCAAACACCGACTTGAAGCACAAATCACAAATGAATGTCAGAAGGTCATGCCGATGTACAAATTCACCCTATGAGTCAAAGCATACTGACGGATGGCACAATAACATTCGGCTTGTTGTCAGGCCCCCTGTAATTACATTCTGCCATTGCAGTTACCTGTCTTGTCTCCTAGGTAAAGTGTTGCTGATAAAATGCGTGCTTGTGGTTGGGGAGGAAGGGGGACTGAGGAAGGAGGGAAGAGGAATAAGGAGAGAGCAGATATAAAAAGGGCTGAAGGGAGAAATATACCTTAATGCGCATATGTAACATTCTGGAACATATCTCATCTTGTTAAACCAGTAGCAGGGCAAGAAAAAGGTAGGTACAAGCAATTATATAAAAGGGATTTACAAACGACCATCACCATCACCTTCAAGAGAAAGTATTTAAGAAAATGTAAGCTGAGAGTGCTTAAATGTTATAAATATTAACGCATGCAAAAGTACTACACTTTTGGTTAAAAACGTGCGTAACGCAAATTAAGAAGCACAGCTCGCGTTGTTCGTCACCCCGGCAACCAAAGTCGTACAAAACTTCCGGCAAACCAGGGGTTGCACACACCAGTGGTGTCACCGTGGGAAGGTGAGGCCTCACTCACCTCTCGGACATGGTGGACTTAAGGCTGCTGGTCCTCACAAACGAGCACGGGCCGCTCTCCGGCTTGGACGTCGGTGTCAAGCAGCCGTGCGGCACCGCCGACTGCCCCCCGAACCCAGCAGCGGCGGCCATGGAGCTCGAGGCTCCGGAGAGAGCCAGGTCCAGCGGCTGCCCCAGTGCCGGCTGGTAGAGGCCGGTCTTTCCGGCGGCCGTCGGAGAATGCGCAAGTCCGATTCCCCAAGGCATGCCGCCGCCGCCTCCTCCGCAGATGCCCATCGGGGTGGGGATGGAGGCCTTAGGAGGGCCGGGACTACACGCGGAAGAGGAGGAGGTGGCAGGCGAGGCTGGGGAGAGCCCCGAGCTGGGGCCGCCGCTGCTGTAGCTGCCGGCCATGCTGCCGTCCACGGGAGACGGAGAGTCGGTGCTGCCCTGCCGGGCCAGCATCGCGTGTGGGTTTGAAATGATGGTGGAATTTTTCAAGTTGTCGCTACTTGTCATGGCGATCTGCTTGGTGCTTTGTTTTCCTCCGAATAACCTGTGGAAAAGGAAGGTGAATTAGACAACCGAAATTGGATGATGGTAGACCATTGCCGCTCATGATTTAATCAAAACTTATTTTCAGAAAGTCGACAAAAAAATGCTGTTTCAAACGTTAGAAGATGATTGAGGGATCGCAGTGCATACCAATGTAATCACAATGAAACTAAGTACCTGCCATGAATTGTTCTTGCTAACTATTATTTATTTGTTCAAACAAGATCAGACTAAAAACAAAAGAAAGCACAACCGAAGTCAGCAGTCTTATTTTTCAAATTCCGTATTAACAAGCAGCTCGGCTTGTAGCCATGCTCACCTGGTCTCGGCCTTACCTACGAAGCGTTGGGGAAGAAATGTCAGGACACTTGGGCACGGGCTGGGTGGGGCTGGGCGATGCGAGAGCGGGAGTCTGCGCGGGGCTCAGCTTCACGGAGCAGCCCGACGCCACGCTCTCCGCGTCAGAAGAAGCCGCCGCTCCGACCGCGGCGGCGGCCGCCGCCTTCTCCCGGTCCGTCTGGTTCGCCGGAGTCCGCTCTCTCTCCGCCGGCACCAACCCACCCGTCGACTTGTCTCTCTCTTGATGCTGCGCGTGGGCCAGCATGGCCGCGGTGGCGTGATGGGGGGTAGGGCCGACGGCGGCTGGCGGGCTGGAGCGGCCCACGCCGATGCGCGACGGCTCTCGGAGTTTGGACCCTGGAGGACCGCTCGCCGACTTGCTGCTCACGTTGGAGTCGATGCTGCTGGTGCTGGAGCGGTTCCCCAGGCCGCGAATGTGGCCGCCGCTGCCAGACTTGGAAGGCCGGGGAAGACTCCTGTACGTCAGGGCGGCGCGCGACGCCGGGTCGTCGTGAGAACCGTCGACGCTCGTCTTACGCCCGCCGATGCAGGCCCCCGCGCGGCCCGCGATGCCGGAGGACTTGGAGAGCTTCCCTACGGTGGCGGAACCGCTCGTGATGGTGGCGCCGCTCGCCGTGATGATGGTGCCGGGTTTTTTGAAGCCGAAGGCGCCGCCGCCCGTGGGCCGGGCGATGCCAGACGGCGGCTTCCTTCCCTCGTCTCCGCTGCTGCGGCCCGCGTCCGACGGGGAGCGCTGAACGGCGCCGCGCTTAGGCGAGAGGCAGCCTTTCTCGGACGCTTTCGCATCATCTGTTTTCCCTAAAGCAAATGCGGAATCTCATTAGCTCAGAATGACTCTTCAAACACATCACCGCATAAGGTTGCTGCACTTGTGCCATACAGCTCTCCGGTGTATTTTCAGGTTGCGGCTTGGCATGATGTCTGAAAAATTTCGCTCCCACATGCCTTGGACTTTCTTTGGGAAATAACATTCGTGTGCATGACCTGAAGGAACTCACTTTTCTGAAGAAGAAGCTCCCAGGACATCATGCCAAACGATACACAAGATCAACCCCAAAAATACATGGGTGAGTCGTTAAACAACACACCAACACAAAGGATTTACGCCATTGGTACCTCATTTGCCAGTAAAAAATATGATAATTGTTTTTTTACCCTTTTATCTGGCAACAAAACTGACACCTTTTTTGCATAGACCACAATACCTGCAGTCATAATGCAAACAAAAAAGAATTACACATAATTATGTTTTATAAAAAAACCATTACACATAATTATGTTTTTTGTTTGCATTATGACTGCAGGTATTGTGGTCTATGCAAACATGACTCCTCATAAAAAAGGTGTCAGTTTTGTTGCCAGATAAAAGGGTAAAAAACCAATTATCAAGGGATTTACGGTTCAGCATTTTCACTCGGGTGGCATGGGCCAACACGTGCAATCGCAGGACAGCTCACCCGGCATCTTCAGGGCAGACGTGGCGGCTTTGCCCCGCGGCGGAGGAGGCGTGATGCCGACCTGCGCGCTCATTCCCCGGCGCCAGGAGCCCGTGTGCGCGATGCTGCCGGGTTTGCGCAGACCACCGGAGCTCTTCTCCGACTCATCCGACACATCCGAGGGGTTGCGCTTCCAGCGTGCGCCGGGCTCCATCACTCTTCCTCCGTGCTCTGGGTCCACGGAGCCGCCCCTGCTGCTCCCCACGGCTTTCATATCGTCTCCTGCCGAGCCTCCGTGCTGCCAGCCGCCGTTTCTGTCTACCCCTGAGCGCTTCTCATTGTCCGTACGCAGCTGCGGGAAAAGGCATCATCATTATCATCATCATCTATTTAAATGCCCTCTCACAATATGTGCATTTATTAATATTAATTTTCTAAATGCTTGGCAGCAAATTGCAGGGGTGGTGTTACAATCACGGTGTAGCTGACATTTATCTCTTTGTGCGTTCAATTAGTGAATAGGTTTTGACACAAAATGCATTTTGCAATACATTTCAAGAGAACGATGGGGATATTTTAGCAATGTTTTGAAGGAAAATGTCCAATTGGCCAAATCTTATCACCGAGTTTTAATTCCTAACATTTCTCAATTGTATTGTTCATAGTCATTAGAAATATTTGCAGGCTTAAGTAAGAGATATAAATAACTGCCTAAATAAATAAATTAACGGGATAGCACATCTATACCCTTTCTATATACAGGCTGAAGATTTCAAAGGCATGCTTTGTCCGGCTGTCAAGAGATTCAGCTGTGATTAAGACAAATGGAATGATATTATTTTGACCTGTTTAATGTCCGAACATTCATGCACAAGGCTGATTACCAGCTCTCAGAAACCCCTTTGGAGTTAAATGACAATGTTTTACGTAGTTTTTTTCATCCATAGCAATATTTTTCTAATAATAAAATATTTATTCTATAATTCAAAGATTATAGCAAACATTCCTTTGTGGTAATGAACAACTTCCACGACATATTTGCTTCAATGAAATGTATGTACAATGTAATGGTCATAGAAAAAACTTTAATCGTTAAATATATTTGAACAAAATAATTGTAGTCACGCATCGGGTTTTTAAAACGTATGAATAGAAAGGAGGAATACAGATGTATTCATAATTATACATGCCAAGATGTAAGTACCTTACATGATCACATAATTTACTACACAGTAGGGTTTATTTAAACCAAAAGGTATTTTTTTTTCAAATCATGAAACCTCTTGAATGTGTTTTTATCTTGGTAGTACAGTATAAATATCTATACTCCAATTAAAAGGCAAAGTAATAATTTATTGGTGAACAAAAATATATACAACAAAGCTTTCATACATTATAGAAACAATGTTGATGCGGTGGTTGAGCCATAAAATTGCATCGTGAGTAGCGAATGTATAGGCTAACCATAAACCTTGTATATTTGGGTAACGCTGCATTTTCTTTCGCCGATTGCCAGGTCGATGCATTGCCGATTGCTATGCCCAGCGTGCAACCACCAGGGGGCATGTGATCTCACAATCTCTATCTCAATTAGCCTGAGCCGGGAGGAACTAAAGTGCGTACTGTATTGGTAATTGCTGCTTTGTATGCACAAATTGACATGCAACCCATTTTGTGAAGCTAAATCTTGCAAACTCTTAACCTTGACTTTTTAAATATATACGCACATGCGCGAAATCATAGCAGATCTCCATATGCTCTTAATCTATCGTGCTTACAGTTTAATCAATTTGCTTCGAGTATCTACAGGATATAAGAATAGGTTTTCCCCTATTTTCTGGTAACAAAACAGGTGTTAAGATGTTAAAACACCAAACGGAAACCTTTTGCAAGGAATCATGTCTGCATTAACCACATATACTTGTGGTGAAAATACAAACAAATAACATGCTCTGGTAGTATGTGCATTGTCTTTGAAACTGATTGGTCCACACCAGAGACAGCTTTCTTTAGAGCCTCGTCTCAAACAGTGTTAGACCAGAGGACGCCAAAAGGCGTACACAGCACAAAGACAATGCACTAGCAGGACAATGAGAGCTCGTGGTGAGCAGCTACATCATGGGACCTCCTTTGCCAGTGTCAAAATATAAGATTAGGTTTTCCCCTTTTTTCTGGCAACAAAACAGGTGTTACGATGTTAAAACACCAAAACGGAAACCTTTTGCAAGGAATCATGTCTGCATTAACCACAGATACTTGTGGTGAAAATACAAACAAATAACATGCTCTGAAACCGACGGCAGAGCTCTGTTTCAACACAAAGCGGTTTATCGGCCTCCAGCAAGGGCAGCGGATAAAGAATGTGAGGACTCGGCACCACAACATCCTGAAAGTGTTGGAAATAATAGAATAATAAAAATAAACATAATAAAATAATTCTCACGACGTTTCGGCCACAACGCAAGCAGCCATCCTCAGGTGTTCTCCACCTGAGGACGACTGCTTGCGTTGTGGCCGAAACGTCGTGAGAATTATTTTATTATGTTTTATTTTTATTATTTATTATTTCCATTCTACGTGACTTTGCCGAAAGGACCAAGAAGATGAATCCTTGCAGTCACGAAAGCTTTAAATCGAAAAATCCTGAAAGTGATCGTTTTTACACATTTTACATCAAGGTGCGTAGGCCATTGTTCCGCGAGTGAACGGACACGATTCTACAAACCACACACCAGCGATCTGTATTTCCAGTTCCATATATGGGGGTGGGTTTTTTGGTCTCAACCGACCTCTTGCCCCTTTGTCCCAAGCAGTCTCCCCCCCCCCCCCCGTGCCATTTTAAACCGCAGAACAGTCAGTGGATGATGGTCCACGCTTGTGTGCGACACATTACTGACATTAGCCCTTACGGAGCAGCCCAGATGTGGCCATTCATCACGTAAGTGGCTCCATTTCAGGAAGGCATTGATGCAGTGCTTGGGACCTTATGGTGCATTGGACGCTGTCGGCACAGATATTTTAAAACATTAAAGGACTGTGCCTGTGGGGGATTGTGTGGTATGCTGCAACACATGTGCACAAGATTTTAGATAAAATGTAATTGAACTGTGTGTTTGCATGCGCCAATCGATTGTTCGGACTCATCGGCTTCCACAGGTATTCAGTGATTCCCGCACGGCAGGTGCAGTGATTTAAAGTTGGTCAGTGTAGTAAATAAACAATTAAGGAGGTGACTGGGTGGTTAATGGATCAAATAACTTGTCTGCAAAGCTGAGATTCTGGGTTTGAATATGGGCTACCACCCGTATTTAACCGAATTCTCAAGTGTAGTGAGTTGGTAGCGAGCCAACTCACCCTGGTCACCCATGACTGAACAAGAAAACAAATAGGGTTTTCAATAAATATCAGTTTAACACGTAAGCATATTTGGTTTGCCTGCCATACATGTACCTAAGTGTGTTTGAACTTCTTACGCACCATACATATCAAACCGACATAATTTGCGGTTATTTGAATGGACGGGCAGAAAAATATTAAAAGAAAAGCTTCTTTTGTAGGCAAAAAAACAACGCACAGAAGAAGCAGCAGTGATTTTGCCTTTTTGGGAGCAGATTTACAGGCAGGCATCATATACTGTCTTCATGTTAGGTTTGGCACACAAGTGGGGTTGGCACCTGAGCTGCAATGCCTCACATATCACACAGGCTGTTAATTAAAAAATGTGATACACTCAATTTAATATATTCTTCGAGGTGTGGAAGTGTGCATTGCAGATACTGGATTTGACATTATTACCATCAAGCCAACCCTTATTACATATCATCCCCATTGCCTTTCCTTGAATACAAAGTAGTGTGGCGATCACCATAATATAACTGTACTGTACTATGTATTTTCAATAATAAATGAAGCAGTTTAACACGTAGGCTTTCGCGACCAATATTATTCATAAAAAAGGTTTTTGGGTGAGATTGCGTTATTTATAAACGTGTTGCAACCCTCCACCACCCGACACGGCCAATCATTAAAAAAGTGTCACGTTGACAAAAGACAAATAGTTCACTACTTTAGCCCACCGGTGTGTTGAAGAGTGAATCCACATTTACAAGCAATAACCTTTTCCCAAAGTAACATAAAAAAAAACTCCAACACTCTGAATATACAAAATACTGCAGGTGACGAGATACAACACTGAAGGCAAGTGGAAGCTGGCAAAAAACATTTTGAGAGCTCGACAAAATAAACGAATATATCATGGGACCTCCTTTGCCAGTACCAAAATATACTAATAGGGTTTTTCCCCTTTTTTCTGGCAACAAAAACTGACACCTTTTGCAAGGAATCATGCTTACAGGCTCTAAAGAAAGCTGTCTCTGGTGTGGACCAATCAGTTTCAAAGACAATGCATAAATTATCAGAGTATTGTTTTTTGTTTGCATTTGACTGCAAGTATTGTGGTTAATGTAAGCATGATTCCTTGCAAAAGGTGTCAGTTTTGGTTGCAGGAAAAAAGGGGAAAAACCCTATTAGTATAATAAACGAATATTAACAACAATTTCGACTTGTAACGTGTACAGCATTCACTCGCTCTCCGAGACGGACAATGACTCGGGAGGCACGAGGAGGAACCTCCGACAAGCGGGAAGGCAGCCACTTCCAATGAGCCGGCACCAACACATTGAATGACGTGCAAAATGGAAAAAGAAGCTGAGGAAGACGGCGGAAGAGATGGTGAGGTGAAATCAGAGAGAAAATTGAGTTTTATAGCTCATCGGATTCCTCAAGTATAAATAAATATTTTGATTCTGAGTTCTGAGGCTAGCAAACTACTGAACAAGAGCAACTAAGAAAGTGAAAAAAAAAGGAATGGACGAAAATGGGGGAGGCCTTTGGCCAGAAGTGTGAAGTTACAGGCTGATAATATAAAATAATTACGATTAAATAATTCACTTTGGGTGATGCAATGTAATCATTTGGTCAAATTTATATCGTAAATGAATCCACCACCCAACATAGCCAATTATTTTCATCAAAGCCAACCAAACTACATTTTTTAACGGCCCAATTGTTATTGTTTCAGGTCACCGGTACGTTGAATAACAATTCTCACAAACAAACGTAGCAATTGCATAAGACATTTCGCTTGAAACCGTGCCAAGCATCTTCAGGATAATATGGAAAAGTCAGGATATCAACTGTCAGGCGGCGAAGGGACTTAGGATTAAAACTTGGACAGATCAGTGCTTGGGCCTCACCCAAAAATCTATTGTGATCTACAACATTTCGCCGCGAGCACCGACGTATTAGTTAGACGGAGAACTAATTGGTGCTGGGTTCTCACCTTGGCCTCCCCCTTTCTGCGAGCGGTAGCCGGCGTCGTGGGGTAGGAGCTGACCGAGGAGCTGGTGTGGATGTCGTCCGTGCTCACGTTGTCGATGGTGTCGCTCAGTCCGCTGCTGATTGAACTATCGTCGTCCCAGCTGCGGCCAGGCACCACAACATTCGATTTGGAAAGGAGAGAGAGAGAGAAACAAAACACATTAGAAACCACAACACAAGTGGCACAATTCTCTATGGGCGAGGGAAACATGATTCCAAGTGAAATGCTTGAACCTTTCCCAGAAAGATATGACTTCAAATCAATTAGCATTTATAAAACTGTCTTTTTACAATATGCTGCAGCAGCATTAAATTCATATTTATTTCTTGGTACTGAACAATTTTGGACAGCAAAATAAAAACAAATTGCATGGCAATATTCTATCACGATGGCGCAACACTGTGATGCTGTAAATCTTACTTGAAAATTAACAATGTAACACCTATTCATTTATGTAATATTACAAGGAACATACAAAACCTCTCCCCCCAAAGGGTGATTTTCCTAATTTGTATTCTTCGACATGCACATTCCGTTGAATTGCATTTTGTCTTAGAATCGCACGAGCTCATGAATAGAAAATCGTTTGCCACAAAATAAATGTGCCTCAATTAAACCCAGAGCGCCACAACAATGCGATATCACAGCAGGTATACACACACACACACACACGAGATACATCGGCCTGTCTATTCCGGCACGGAGAGTGTGCTCGAAAGCCTAAGCCCAATATCTGTTGCGCAGCGTCGCCGCGTCCAATTTCCCCCAAGTCGCTGGAGCAGAAGTTTTATTAACGGGAAAAAAGAGGGCCTTGCTTTCTCGCCTCACACTATTGCTCTCCATCCCCTGGATTATTTTGGCACCAAAAACACTTTCGCCTCACATTTGATGAAGTGATGAAAAGCAAGCACATAACCTGCGAGATAAAACCTTTATTATATAATCCCCACAGAGTGTGCACTGTTTCGGTACAAACATATATTTGTCGTATCTATCACGCTGCAGGCTGCCTCAATTAACGCCTGATGGATGTTCGTTAATTTCATTTCTATTGTTGTCCATTCATGTAATGCCATTTTACATTGCATTATTCATGCAATGTACGTTCAATCTCCACGCAAATAGAGTATTTCAACTGCCACAACCTTATTGCAAAGTGCACTCACAATGAGTTAATCTATTTATTTTAACTGGACTGAAAACAACTAACTATTCACCTAATTTGATTAAAGGAATTGCTTTGTCTCTCAATATCAGTGGGTGGTCATCTGCATGCTGCTACTAATCACATGATAATGAAAGGCTAAACACACACACAATGGCCTGTGTGGTTAAATGATTAACAATTACTTATACAAATTATTGCGATATATAATTAACTATATGTGATGTACGGAAATATTTAAGAGATTGAATAATACAATCGTTCATTGAATTGAAACGGGATTTTTCTCACAATTATAAGTGAAAAGAATATAAATATGTTGTATGTAAAAGTTCCACATTCTACAGCTGGCTTTGTAATGAAAGAAGTCATTGACATTCAATTTCCCTCCTGCCTATGGTATGTGTTGTGGTTTATGGGTAAGGCAATTGAATCATAACAGCTCACAACTATTACAACATTACTTAGAATGTAAATAATTTAGTGTTATAAGGAACATGGTATTATATTGTCATGCTCATCGAGAAACAACATTCTTTTAAATAGGACGGTGTCAAAACCACTTTAATAGTTCAATTGTTAAAGTGCAAACATGTTCAATTATACTTTGTGTGACTTCAGGGGTACTTCGTTAAATTTTCTCCATAGTCCACCTCCCCTTTAACGAGGTGGTTCTCAATAACATACTCTATTCAATTCGCCTTTTCCATGATTATGGAATAGGGGTAAATATTGACTCCAGCTTAAAAGGTAGAGGTGCAGCCCTGCAATTTCCTGCTCTTGACACTGATGGACTAGGAGAAGGCGGTTGAGATAGCCCCTCTAATCGCTATTTGGCCTACTCTTTCACACTAGCCAAGCGTCTTGAAAGAGCTCGAAGTATCCACCTCACCACATACGACCTGTACATCTACGAACTGCGGTGTACCCATTTATACTACTGGTGGACAGAGTTGGGGTGGAAGGGGAGAATTTAATCAACTAGCCCATTGTTAAACTACCGTGCCAGGGGATCGAACCGGTGTGGTCTCTGGTTTGCAAGTGCAGTATGCAAACCATTACCAAATGGCAGCAGCCCAGATGTAATGAGGAATTGACCGACTTGCCACATTGGCTATGTCGAAGTGCATCAGAGCCATCATTTTTCCACATTGGCAAACGAACCGCCATTCTATCTCAATTTTCAAGGCATTAAAACGCCAGTTTTCTTACACATTATGTGTGAAGTCTGTTAGCGGTACGAGCGCTTTGTTACCAAACCAAATCCCGAAATGCAGACGACCGATCCATTACAATCAAGCCAAACATACGACGCCGTTTAGAAAGAAGCAGAAGCTTTCCACGTTTGGCGAGTATTCCGCATACGCGACAGAGCAGCCAGGCAGGCTAATGTCAATGTTCCATTTACACGGCTACCGTGGAGATTGTGTATAGAGTAGGCCACCTCTGTTACGGGGGGGGGGGGGGGGGGGGGCAGTGAGTGCATGCAAAATGCCATAAGTGATCTCATTAAGGGCCAGGCGAGCGCCTAATTGTGTTGTTTTCAGAATGAATTACCCTTGTTTTGGGCACAGCGACATGCATAGCTGTTCTGACCCCACCTCATGGATACTAGATTTATAATAATAATAAAGAGTCTAATCATAAAAAGCCGTTCAATGGGGATGGAATGTTTTGGAGGAATAAAAAAACAAGGCCATTTTTTGCACAAAAGGCAGCACTACATGTTTAAGAATAATAACTACCCAATATAATCAAATGATAATGGGAAAAAAAACAAGGTACTGTGTCGGCAGTGATGCACACGCACAATAAGAAAAATATCACCATGTTCATTATTAACACTGCCGCCCAAACCAAAAGATATATAATACACTACGGCACAATCCTATTATATATTTTTTCTGTCATACGGCGATGGTGTTAATGGAGAACGTGGTGAGATTTTTTGATTTGTGCAAACCCAGTTTAAGAGGACTCCTGCCACTACTGAACACTGCACATTTTTTCACAAAAGCAATGGTTAAGTTGGACGATGAAAGCTCCAGTAAAAATCTATAAATCATTACCTTATTAATTATTGCAGTGAGCTAATGCGTTAATTCGACTGGGATACCAAAATTGGCCGTGGGTTTGTCGTGTTGGTTATTTTGAAGTTAAATTTTGTATTTATATCAATAACTCATTCATATGTTAAACACAGTCCGTTCAAAACGTACTTGTATAAAATTGGGCATCATCATCATCGAATGTGGCCGATGTCTCTCACCCACATGCTCTAGTTTTAACTCGAAAAACTAAAACGCCCACCAAATTGCAAACGGATCATTCTGGTCACTAAATGTGCTCACTGTGCAGAGATAGAAAAAAAATCTGGAGATCATGTCTCCTTGTCTCTGATGACACGAGGGAGGGAGGGGAGGGAGAGGAAGGAGAGAGGGCAGCACTTGCACTCGTCATATGGTGAGTGACTGGCCTCTTTAGAAAGCAGCTCTTGCAGGATTTAGCACTGTGTCCATTATCGGCCAGGTAATTCTTAATCAAATTGCCGTGTACACCTGGCTCAGTTGGAATAATGCCCAAACTAAATAATGACACTTTTTTTATGCCACGCAAAAATGTGTGGCCCACTACTGGGCAGAAACTCAACAAATGTAGATATTATTAATATTCAAATAATTATCATTTTCAGTCCACTGCTGGATGTAGACCTCGCACATCGTGTTGGTCACGTGGGATGTTTGACCATACCTCCCCAGAACTGGTTCTGTAATTGTGGAAAAAAAACTTGTTCAGGGTAGTCCAATAATAAACGTGGAAACACTCCACCCTCGTTAAGTTTCATTTATATTCACCAGAACTCTTCTTATCCACAGTGCTGTTACCGGCGGCTCCTATTATCAGCGGCAGCTGTTGGGTATGCGAGAAATCCTATGTTTAAATGGCAGTAGTCATTTCATCAGCCCTGTCTGAAATTTGGACATTAATCTCATTGCATTGTAGCCCAAGCAATTAATTTGGCTAGACTTAATTGAAGCAAAATATAATTAATTAGAAACAAGCACCCTGTCAAAAGATGGAAATATCGGCCACCTTGCAATGTATTCTTGTGATTAATATGCTGCATTAAGGACATCTCAGTAATGGTGGTATAAGCACATGTTCACAACCGAAAGAGTCACCCGTTAATTAATTAACAAGCTTCTATCACAATTACAGCAATCGCCAACGTTACCTCCTCAATAAATAAGAACTGACTAATTTTGTTTTCCTGTTAGATCCATGAATGCAAATGCCAATGTAGTCAAACTATAGATTGACTCTGCTCTTCAGATGAGGCAGTTACCGAAAACATTTTTAGCGGAAAACATTTTCAACAGCACACCAACTCCCACAAGACATAGTGCTTTCATTAGCTGTGCCCACCCCTGAAGCTAGGGAGTGGAGTGAAGGTTTAAATCAGTGACCCTTGGACTCAAGAGGCTGGTATTCTGTCCGCAGAGTTCACCCTGCTGCTTTCCACTATAAATACGAAGCAGCATAGCATCATTCAACAGGCATACGAGTGATGTTGTTGTGAACCAGATTCATATTTGATGAATGATGAATTTGCCGAGTACTTTGCCAAGGTGAGTTATGGTCTTTACAGCAAGCTTTGGGTAGTAATCGCTGACCACAGCCACCCTCACGGACATATTTAAAGTCAATGCAGCATTTATCCTACAAAAGCTTGGATATACTCTACATAGGGATGCTGCCATGGTGACATTTTGGCACACCGGAGTTCACCGGTTTGATATTCTGGAGCACCAGTTGAAACAATGGGCACGTTTCTTAAACGCTGCCGACTCTCCACCCAGCAGAATAAATGGGTACACCACAGTTAATCCATCAACAGGTCACGTGTGGTCGCTAAAAGTGCGGCACTAAGGACA